CTCAACTCCATGCTTTAAGATAAAATGTCTAAATTTCCAAACAAAAATGATAAAATGTTTAAAGCAAGAGGGAGTATGTGTGTATAGCCTGTTATCCAAAACAGGATATAACGGGAGGGATACTAAAGCAAAGCACAAAATTATATTACTTTTGATTTGGGTAAGAAGAAGAGGTTGGGCCACATTTTGATGATTATGTTATACATGGAATCATAACTTCATGCAATCATATACAATATGATCCTATCTCAAGTCCCATCTTGTTGTTTACTTTGATGATAGATGGCTTTTTTGTAATTTTGTTAAGATCTTATTAAAGTTTTATTATGAAAATTACATTAAGAATCAATTTTCTAGTTAAAAAATGTTGGGCTTTCCTAAAACAATTTTATTTTAAAAAAAATCTTTAAAATAAATTTTGCAGATTTAAGGATAAAAATATATAAATTCTTGTTTAGTGCCAAAATAAGTTCATTAACATCATTATTATGATTAGTTGCTGTCAGATATTATATGTTTTAGCATCAAGTGACCTTTCAAAGTTTAATGAAAAGAAACCTAAATGGATAGCAGAAAAATAGTGTTTATATAGTATCGTATCATGGAAAGATATAAGAATTTTAACATTAAATTAACACGATACTATGGTAGGTGTAATTGAAATGAGTGCATAAAGTGAATTGAACTTTGCAATGGGAGAATTGAGATATGATATAGTGAAACTAGTTATAGCTACATTATTATTATTATTATAACTATCTAATAATGATTTTGGTTAAGAAAGGGAAGGGGAGAGAATGATAGGGCTAAAGGAGGCAGAAAGATGAGAAAATGATCTGAAAAAAAGGAGGATTAGGAATGATGTTAGTGATGGAAAGGAGGTGGGAGCATGTGATTTAGAGGTCCACATGGGTGGAAAAAAAGCACAAGAAAAAGAAAAAAAAAAAAAAAGTAGGGTTACAGAGGTTGGTCCAGAATAAAAGAAAGCAATGATGCAGAGGTAGCAGCATCACTGGAAGCATAAAAGAAAAGCTATCCTTGTTTCCAAAGAAATGAATCCCAAGTTTTAACTCCAAAAGGGTGTAAGTGAACGTGGCATTGTGCTATTGCTCCATTCACATTGTTCTCTTCTTCAGAAGAACATCCTCAATTTTGGTAATTTTAGACAGTAAGATGATTACAATTTACGAACATCGTACTACTGACTCCATCTTCTTAAATATGTTCTATTTTTTTTTAAACTTAATTTTGGTATTTGAATTTTAAAAATTGATTGATTAATCTCCAAATTATCTAAAAAATAAGAATTTGATTCTTTTATATTTTTTAACGATAAAATTCATTATTAAATATTAAATTATTTTGTGAATCTATCACTTTATTAACTTTGGGATGATAAAAATTACTATTAAATATTAAATTTTGGTATAAAAAGGACAAATTTTAATTTTTAGAAGTTGATGATTGGATTAATCAACTTAAAAATATAACGATTAAAGAAAAATTTGAAAAAATATTATAACTAAAAATATACTTTATTTCAATTTTATAAATAAAAAAATCATTATTATTATGAAATCAAAGGCTCTACTAATAACAGTATCAGATATTTGTTTAGAACAAGTGGAGTTATTATGACCTCTCATGTTTTTATTCTATTTTATTTTTATGTATGTAACATAACATTATATATTTAATTTATGTTAATTTCTTTTATTTTTAGCCTTATTTTTAAAGCTCCACCACCACTTACTAAGATAGTGTTTAGGAGGGAATTTTTTTATTATTTTTTTTAGAAATAGGATGAGTAGGAATTAAAAATATTGTGTATTAAAATTCTTAATAATGAGTAAAATATGGTCTGTAAAATATATTGTAAAAATATTTATATAAAATTCTATTGAAATCAATTATAAACTTTTTTGTTTTATTATTATTTTAGTATGTTTATCTTACGAGTTCATATATATATATATATATATATATATATATATATATATATATATATATATATATACATTTTAAATACATTGAGATATTCTTTTAACAAAATTTTTATCTTAGATCAAAAGAATGTTAGATTCTTACTTCTTGTCAGAATTTTTTTTGGTTAAAACTATCTTTAAAAAATATGATTTCCTGGTATTATTATTTGTTTTAAAGAGATAGACATAAAAGAAATGTGAAAAATATATTTCCACAAACTTAGATTTTCGATAAAATAAAATAAAAATAATTAGTGTTCCCTAAAGATAATTAGTAAAATTTTGAAAAATTAAATTATAGAAAAGTTAGTTAATAATTTGATGGTGTTTAGTTGGAGTGATGAGTTGATCTAAAGTAATATAGACAGACACCCTTATTAAAATGGGTAAGTATGAGAAAATAATGAAAAGGTTGTGATTAATAATGAGATGTCACAACACAACCTCAAGCACAGGCACCCATCAATATCGAACATAACTAAACTCACTTCCCCCACAAAGCCACGAGGAGTGAGTGTGTCATTTGGTTTGCTGTTTGGTGAGGTTGATTAGGGATAAAATTATTTGTCGGATGAAGGCCATGTTTCAATGCTACCACCTCGCATAAACACTTTACAATAAACTCTCCTGATGTTACAACTTAATGTCCCTCTAAACTAACTCTTAGTGCTCCACATAACAAAACAATCATGTCTTCTATTTATTTTTTCAGTAAACTAAGGTTTTTTTTTTTTCTGTCAGAATATAATAACTAATTTTTTAAAATATAAGATATTTAAGAGTTTTTTTTTCTCAATCGATATTTTCTTTATATATATATACATTAATGACTGAAGTTTTGATCACACATTAAATAATTAAATTTAATTATCTTTTAGTCCCTAAATTCAATTAGTTCTTAAACACTAAATTTGAAGATTAAAATCAGTTTTACAAATTTTATTTTAATCAACCATGTTTCTGAGTAGGAACTAAAATCATGTTATTTTTAAGTTTGAAGGATTATTTTATTTTCTTCAATTTGAGAGACTAGAACCAAAATTATTTTAAATTTAAGGAATAAAAACACATGGAATCTAAATATAAGTTTTTATATCATGGAAAAAAGAGAAGCTAATAAAAAAATTATAAATTTATTATTTAAAAAATTTAAATTAAAAATAAAAGTATATTAATAAGTATGGATCTATCCAAATTGTGAGAAATATTTTATTAAGGTGGAAAGAAGTAGTTTGATATATGTGGGGGTCTATTTTTGTGGTTGCTTTGTTTGCATCTGAGCTAACTAACGTTGGAGGGACAAAAATCCAATGAGTGAGGAGTTAGGTTGGAAAAGAAAAGCTGGAGGTTGGGGTCTTATGTAGTGTACCCACCCTTTCTGCACTTATTTGTTGTTCCTTCTAACCAAAGGAGGAGCCAAGAAGACAAGTGTTTGTGTGTGTGCAGAGGGAATAATGGAAAAGAATTGGTTTTTACTGTAACTTTTGCTTTCCTTACAGTTCACCACATGAAGCAAAATTTTTTAAAACAAAAGAGAAAGCAAAGAGAGGGGTTCGGTCGTTTTCTATTTTGAATGTAACAGGAAAATAATAGAAAAATGTTCGTAATCATTACCAAGCTAGAATTTTTTATTTTCATTGCAATTCAAGCAAACAAATAACAGTGATGTATCTTCATAGTTTAGTAAATACCTGAAGTATACAACTGAAAATACTTAATATATATATATATATATATATATATATATATATATATAAAATATTAAATATTATTGTATTTTTAATAAATTTCAAATTTTATATAAAATTTAATCTAATATAATTACTTTTATGCAGGAATGTATTTGATTTATATCAAAATATGTGAAAGTAGGAACAATGATAATTAGCTGTATATTTCATTCTGCTTCTATTTTATTTAGTTAATGAAATAATTTTATTCGACTTCAATATATTATGCTTTTAAAATAAAATATATTATCTTGCCAAAAATACTATTATTAAAATGAAAAAAAAAACATAGATGTGATTTTTAAAATAATTATTATAAGAATCAATAATTTGTGATTTTTAAAATAATTATTATAAGAATCAATAATTTGTATCGATATGAATATATGACAGAAAAGAAAACTTCTGTACCCTCAATTTATAATTAAAATAAAAAAAGGTTTTATATGAATTTATAGTATTTAATTTTAATATTGAATTAATAAAAATAGCTAATAGTAAAAATATCTTTATAATGTAATCCATCAATTATGAATTGACCTAAATGATAATAGATTTTTTAAAATATCATAAATTTTAATTGGTTAAAATCTTTGAAATAAAATTCATGTAATGTAATATTGCTATCATTGCAAAGTTTTAAAAAGGTCGGAGAAAGAATATTAGTACCTAACTCAACATTATTATTATTATTATTATTTTTTTTTTTTTTTTTTTTGTGCGCTTATAAGTGTCGTATATCAATGTAAAGTAATTTATATATATAATAATGAGTCTCACTATATAAGTGTCGATCATTTATATATATTTTTTTCCTCTTAATTTATTAAGGTATCTTCTACAAATAAAATCGTAATGAACAATAATTCTAAAACAGACAATAATTTAAATATAAAAATTGATCATGATGAACAAGAATTTTAAAATAAATAAAGATTTAGTGGTAAGAATTAATCTAAATATATTATCTTAGTAATATAAAATCGGATACTTTAATTATATAAAAGTTGGATATTCTTGTTACTTAAAACGAATCCTACGTTTCGACTGAAATTTAAACTAAGTGGGATCTAGGCACACTTAGACTTATGACATTTTTTAACTTTTTTTTTTTGTTTTTCTTGCAAAATCTGTATAATTGAGGAAATGTAAGACCGTACTTCTGTTATGTGTTGGAGGAAGAATAGATAATTGGTGTTATCCAGAATTGAGTAAAACGGTTGGAAACCAGGAAATGATGTAGCCCGGTGATCAATATTTGGCACATGATATGGTATAGCTAGCTTCATAACACTGCTAGGTAGCACATGGAGTTTGAACCTTCAGCTCGCGGTGTGTAGTAGTCAACACATTCCATCAAATTGCACTCACAATTCACCACTTTCTTCCCATTTGGTGGCCCCTTGCAACTACTTTGAACGGTTTTGCAGACGCTCTTAACTCCACCGGCTCCATGCTTCAATCTGAATAATGCAGATGTAGGACACTTAGACATGTTGAGTTCTTTTAATGGAGACAGGGTGGGAAGTGCAGAGAGCTTGGTCTTGTCCTTTTGTGGATCAAAAGATGAATCTTAATGCAGCAGTGGATTTAATTATCAAGGGTGATACCCTGTCAATCACATATTTCACAAACTATATGATTAGATTAGAGTATCCCACACGAGTTAATGTAAATTTATGTTTAAGGGTTTTAGTAAAATTACTATCTACTTAAAATATCTTTTCATTAGAAGAATATTAAATGGTATGATTTTTCGTGTATTGATACTTTTAAGTTTATAAAATTTTGTTAAAAACAACTAGGTAATTATCTAACTTTAAAGATTATGGTCTCAAATTATATAATATTGATTTTATACTAATATTTTTATAAACTTTTTTCAACATTTAACAATTTGATACATTTCTTCGACCCCACTTCCCATTTAAAGTATACGACTCCCCAAAAAAGTATACAACTCAGATAATTGCACATTATTCAACCAAAAAAAAAAATGTGACAAATAGAAAAACAACTTGGGTGTTGTTGAAGTTGAGATAGTTGGAGTAGTGGTGGCAGAAGAAGTAGATGGAGTAAGTGAGTTATGTTTGTGAAGAAGAAGACAAGGTGAAGTGAGGTGAAAATGAAGAAAAGTGTTATTTATGATAGATCTCACTATGCAAAGGAAAAGTGAGTGTAAATTTTTTTTTCTTTTTTTCAATTTAGAAACATTTATTATGTCAAATTAAAAAAATACATATGCATATATAATATTTATTTCATTTATAAATTTATTATCACATTATTTATTATAATATTAAACAATAATATTTGATTTTTATGTTTTTATTTTTAAATTAAATATTCAATAAACATAATAATGTTGTCCTACCCTATGAACTATGGTGAGAGTGTATAGTGATCAGTATCCATACTGATTCCTGACACACATGTGACAGTAACTAACTGATTGTTGGGGCATATAAGCTCATTTGTATTCCATGTTCTATATCCATAACCATATATACCTTTTAATGGACTTTCCTATCAACCAACAAAATAAATTGTTTTTAATGAAACTTAATTTAATGTAACCAATGTACTAAAATAGATATACATGAACTGAACCGAAAAAAAAAACATTACATGGAAAAGTAATGGAAGAAAGATAATCTATCACAAACTTTATAAGCCCCACTTGGATAACCTAATATGTTAATATAATAATATTTCACCCATTTTTTTATATGGTAATACAGATATTCAACTTCTGAAATTATATATTTAAAAGAAATATCAATCAAGCCACGTAAGAAAGTTTATATTTGTGAGCTTACCATTTTTTTATTATTATATATGTAGGCTTAAGTATTTTTACTCCCTCAGAGATTGAATTTGTTTTCATCTTTTAAATTTAAAATAATTTTCTCAATCTATAAATAATTTTAAGTTATGAATACAATAAAAGAAATTATTTTTATTATTTTAATGTATAAAATACAATTTTCGTCTCATCCAACATAATTAAATTCATAATAAAAGAGATTATAATAAACTTTAAAGAATTTAATTATATAAATAATTATATGTAAATTGATTAATTTTTATTTAGAGAGAAATTTTACTCACATGGATTTTGTCCAAATCAGTGGTTGTTTCTTATAAGTTAATCATGTCAATAAGTCATTGTCTTGGAAAATCCTATTATAAACTTCTTGTAATAATCAGTCAAGTTCATAAGCTTTTTAAACTATATTTAGGGTCCTCGTAATAATATTATTTCTACTTTGAAGAAAATCTACAAAAATTTATTCAGAAATTACATATCCCACTAATTATATTCATGTATCCAAAATACATATATATGATTGTTTAACATGTAATTGTTTCTTTATCCTAATATTCAATATTGTTTATGAATAATGTTTTTAATATTCTTATATAGTGAAAGAGTAGATAAATATAATATCAATAAATACCACAACAAATTTATTTAAGAAAGGATAAAATACATCGTATTCATCTAATTTGTAAATAGGCAAGTTTTATTAAATCTTAAAGTAATCTTCTATTTATCTTTACCTTTTACTAGAATTTGATAGTATTTTGATCTCAAATCAATCTTCAAGAATATTATATATCTAAACAATTGATCTAACAAATAATTTATCATTAAAAAGGAATATTTAATCTATTCATTTTTTTTTCAATTTTCTATAACCAATATACAACTTAGAGTCCTTATCTTTCTTTTTTACCAATAATAGTGGTGCACTCGAGAGAGACACTTGGTCTTATAAATTTCTTTTTTAGCATATCTTCAATTTGTTTCTTTAGTTATGCTAACTCATCCCATAAGGGGTTACAAAAATTCATCTTGTAGGTAGAGAAAATTATCTTGAGCGTTGGTTGAGTCATCAACTATAAGTATGACTATGATAAGGTGGACCTCTGTGCACATATCACATTTAACTTCAGTTTGTTATTGTTGTTATCTGTTTGATTCCTAAAATCCCTACTTTGTCCCTTCTTTAGTCTCTCCATTGTCTTGACCTTTTTCCACCTAGATAGAAAACTCTAATGGATAAAAGCACCACGAGAAGTTGCAACTCCCTCTTAAACTTCTTTTCTACACCCCTAAGCTTCAAAGGTTGTCTAAGTGTAGAAAAAGACTCAAATATAGTGACATAATCATGAATGTACATATATGTTCTACTCTAATATTAAAAATTCTGACTCAATCACAAATCACTCAGTATCATGAAATACTTCTTCAAGAATCTTTCGCAAAAGCTCTCCTAATCCACACTTTCTAACTGAGTAGTCATCATTTGTTGAGTCTCCTTTACTAGAACTAAATTGTCTCTGTCAGTCATTAACTTCTGAACCACTACTCAACTACATCCAATCCTAAAATATAATTTAATTTAGGAGGATTATGTCTTGTAGATTAAGTAATCTCACTACTCATTTGATTTGATGATAAGTAGTAAAGAAAATCATCACTCCTAGCCAATAACGACTCTAGTATATATATAATTTATATTTTTAAAAATTTAATAAAAAATATTTTATAAATATAAATAAAATTTTTATTTTTTCTTTTTCTAATTTTCACTTATAATAAATATCATTTTTTTTCTCATGGGTTCTTCACTTTTACTTTTTTTTTCTCTTTTTCTTCTATCTTCATATTTTTATCTTTTCTTCTATCAACTTTTTATTCCTCCATTTTAATTTTTTTCTATCAAACACTTCACATTTTTATCTTTTTCTTACCACTCATTCACTTTTATATATATTTTTGCAAGATAGTTTTTTCTCTTTTTTAATTTTTTTTTTACAATTTTATCTTCATAGCATAAAAATTATATATTTTTTCTTTTATTCACATTAAATACATCACACAATAAGTTAAAAAAATAAAGGAAATACCTCAAAATAATTATTTTAAAGTAAATAAATATGAAACAATTTTATTTTCTTTATTATTATTTTTATTATTAAAAAAAATTAAAATTTATAATGTATCATAAATATATAAAATATTGATATAAATTTATTTATTTATTATAAATTAATTGATTATTTTAATGTTTTATGATGATATATTTTGATGTTAAAATATGAAAAAAATTTAATTAAATTTTAAAAATGTCTTAAAAAAAATTATAAATTAATTTTTATGAGAAAAAAATGATAAATAATGAAATATATTTTACTTTTCAAAATTTAAATAAAATTAATAATATTGAAAATGTTAATGAGTATTTTATATAATAATTAATTTTTATATTTTCACCCCTCATGATATAATTAAAATTTATGGTTCCAAACTTAATCAACCCCATTTCTAAAATGCAACATGTAGTTATTATACCATTGCAAAACTTTATATGATCTGGGTTGCATCATTTACAAATAAATAATTTCAGGTTAGGAAAATAAATTAAATTTACGAACTTAATATCCTAAACCTAACAAAAACGCATATTCATGTTCACGTCCAAAGCATAATAAGCTCATTCCTCTCGGGTCAAAGATTCAACTCACTAAGGTTAAATTTTCTTTTCGTATATTTTTTTCCGAAGTCCTCCCTCAAAGCGCATTAACAAACACTCATTTGAAAATTAAAAAAAAATATGAAAGATAAAAGAATGAGAGAAAATGAACTTCAAATATTTATATCTCATATAATCACTTATAATGTGTTTAATATAGTTAACATTTATTTAAACAAACTTTTTTTAAAGTAATAAAAAAATTCATATAATAAACAATGATAGATATTTATATTTAATATAATTAAAATATTATATTCAATTCTCATATTTATGTAGATAATAAAATAACGTATATTATAGTATGTGATTTTTAATTAAGTAATTAATTATTGTTCACATTAATTAATTATAAGAAATTTAACTTTATGAAAAATGTAACTAAAAAAAACAAAATAATTAATAAAATATAAAAATAAAATAAAATATTTTAATTATATTAAATACAAATATTTATCCTAAAAATATATATATTTACAAAAAAAAAACTAAAATCTAGTTATAAACGAATTAAAAAGTAATAATCTATAATAAATAAAAATACCCTATAAATTACCTTATACAAATTTAATTTTTATTTATAAAAAATGTCAAATTAAACATACTTTTAATATATAACTAAGACTTTTACTTACACTTTATATAAAACCACGTGCCACGTTGTTATTTCACGTTTTTAAGCATATCAATTTACTTTGGGTTGGATAAATTATTATATTCTGAATTATCTTTTTATTTCTTTGATTTCCATTATGTTTTTCTAATACCAAAACAATATGACTCAAATATTTTTTGTTTCTTGTTAAATAAAATATTTTAATTGTCCAAATGTGTTTTTAAAAATTATATTGTCATAAGGTAGTAAAATTAACTAATTTCTTATTGATAAATAAAATTATGAGTACTAATTGACTAATCTTACCTCCATCAAAGTGAAACCTGTGCATACTTA